ACTTGAATTGTTTATTTTCTACCAGAATTAGCTTTAAATAGATCTTATAATTATAGAGCAAGACCGATTCGCATACTATACTCTGAATGCATTTTTAGTATTTAGAAAGTATTGGAGCTTTTGAACGAGAGCTATTGGAGCTATTGCCGAGTATTATATTTCAGTCATGATTATTTTCAATGACTTGCCAATTTAATTATTGTTAGGTTCTCAGTTTTAAGTGTTTTAATATATTAATGTTCGAGTGTACATATGGACAAATGGAACCCTCAGATTATGTTCAAAATTAATTAATCCCGAAATAAATTTTATTATACACAATTATTTAAACAAAGATTTTTTGCAGTACATAGATTGAAATAAGTGTCATTGTTGACTAGCGTGTTCAGTGATGTGTAACACTGATACCCAAATAACATGTATTGACATTTTGCTAATTATGCCCAAAGGCGATTGAAACCTCAGGTGTTGACACCATTGTGTACAATTGTATTGCTTTTTTTTAATCGGTCAGGTAAACACAAACAAAACAAATAAGAAATCAGTCACAATTCCCACAGTCACAATATTTTTCAAATGTTTATTTTTTTTTAAATAAATGTACTCTTGTTTATAAATTAAAAACTAATTCATAAATAAATCTCCAAATAATTGTTCACATTGTTTATGGGACAGAAGAATGGTGGAATAATTTTATTTCATGGTCATTTAATAAATTATTAGGTTTTATTTGAGGGCAGTAAAAAATAACATGGAGTGCTCATTTTTAAGCACGGTATTAGCTTTTTCAATTAAGAAAAAAATCTAGTACAGTACATTCCATCTGAATATCTTACTGAAATGACACTTGAAGAGAGTTTGTTTGTTGTTTTAGATAGTGCTAATGCAAACTTTGAGTACAGAATTTGACAGCATTAATTTATTAAATAGGCCTAGATATTTTTTTTTCAAACACTTGTATTTTCAAACACCTGTGTTGAAGTTTAATTTAAGGGATAAAAACCATTCCCTGGCTTCCCTTTTTAACTACTTTGAATTTTTAAAATTAATTCTAGACAATTGTGTAAATTTACAGCCCCTGAAGACATTTAGTAATTACATGTATAACTATCTTTACTTATTTAATTTTTGTAAGAAATACTTGTTATTTTTATTTTTTTTTTTATCTTAAACAACTCTCTGCTGAAAGTAAACAAAACAACAACAGGGAGCCTGCAAATTCAGAATACACAAGGGGCGGAGCTATCATGTCACTCAAAACTTTTTTCACGCATGAATGAACAAAGCAGTCCCTGGGACTGCTTGGTCTGCTTTCTAGAGCAGTCCCACAGCAGTCCCGGGGACTGCTTTCTGGGACTGCTTAAGTGTCAGGTTGGGTCTGATTGGTACTGTAGTTCTTAGGCATTTTAATTTAGTTTATTTGCATAGAAATGCCTATACCTAGCCTTAACTCACCTGCGTTATAGTTTAATCTGATTTCAAATTGAATATAACATGGTACACCAGTAGACTACACTAAGATACTTCTTTCCTTTTATTTGTTTTTGATTTCAATGAATGGTGTTGCCATCGTTACTAAAAACAGAAATTTCTTCGAAATTCTTTCACAACGCACCTCCTCCTACAGTTTTGGTCTAACTTTTAATATAACTTAGCATGCAAAGTACGCTACACTAAGATACATAATTCCGTTACTTTATTCTTTTTTACTTTAATGAGCAGTATTGCCATGGTAATTAAAAATGGAAAGTTCTGTAAAATTCATTCAAAAAGCTACTCCTCTAATAGTTTTATTGATTGCAATAAATCTTGCCACAAAAAGAAACCAAACCAAGAATCATTATTCCACTTTAATTGCTGTCCAAGTTCTACTTTTTTCATCTTTTAATTTTAGTACAAAACCGTTGAGCTACAGTCTCATCAGAGACTTCTGTTTTTTTTTATTCTTTGACTTTGTTCGGATGCAAGACTAGTGAAAAATAGATTGAACACCTTAATTAGTAATAAGCTGAATCAAAGGTTCAAGTAAGCAATTCTGATTGATTGTATGTTGTGTTTCGTCCCATTCGAGAATTTTTCACTCATATAGAGACGTCACCATATACCGGTAAAGGGCTTCAAATTTTGACCTTTACTCGTCACTTAAGGCCATTGAGCAGTGACGGGTCTTTATCGTACCAACGCCTGTCGTGACACGGGGCCTCGGTTTTTAAGGTCTCATCCGAAGGACCCGCAACTTTTACTTCAAAGTGCCGAGCGCATGGCGAAAGAGCAGTTGCAGTTTTTATCGACCTAGGTCAGTCGTGGCCGAGATTCGAACTCACGACCTTCCGATCACGGAGCGAGCGCTCTACCGACTGAGCTACCGTGAACGGTCAATTCTGATTGAAGTCCATTACCTATTTAGTGTACAAAAGTAAAACTTTGCTAGTGTAGTAAACCATAGGTAACTTTACCTCTAGACCAGGTAAAACAAAGATTTGTGAACGTTTCCTTGTGGAGCTTCAATTCAGATCTGTTCAAATCATGGCCTTCAAGCATAGGATGGAGCCTTAATTGGGGATTGAAGTTTTACATATGGATACATAAAGAAAATATTTACATTTTCAAATATCTTTGTCCCAAATGAAGCTACAAATGAGGTATCCTCATAAAGGGATTTGTTCAGCACATGACAGAACTATATGCTTTCTCGTTGTGCGTTGCTTAGTAAAACACTTAGCGGGGCCTGCAGAGATTTCTTATTATTGGATTTTTTTTATTTAATTAAGGATCTATTGAAAATGTTTTCATAGGGAAAACCTTTTTTTTACTCAGATACAACAGAGCTGACGCTTGATTTTAATCATGTTGATTTGCAAGCATCCTAAGGTAGTGTTGTGTTTTGTTCACATTTTGACCCTTTTGGGTAGGTGGGAACATGGTAGGGTGATCAGAGGTTTGCATAGAAGTACGAGAGGAAATCTTTTGAAATCTTTCAAACAACAGCTCCACAATTAACAGAAATAATTATAGCTATGCATTTCTCGGTGGTTCAAATTAAACTTTTTTTTTTAATATTAAAGGCGTCAAGAGAGAGAATTGGGCCGCAATATGTAATCAAAGATCTATGGAAACCTTCTCATGAGACATATTAAATCATATTAATATACAAAAATTCCCGAAGTGTGTAGATTAAAGGATATTCTTACCCTATTTATGGACTAAAGGTGTTTTCCCCCCGATTTATGGACTTTCGGATTAGGGTAAGGCTTGGGAAAAAAATCAGAATTTCTCATATGCAAAGAAAGAGGGCGTACAAGGCGAGGAAAATCCCCCGCTCTGGAACAATGTACTTCCCGATTTTCAACTTTCAGCGAAAAGTTATATTTTTCTAAAATGTTTTCAGTAATGCCATCTTCATCATATTTAATTCAATTATTTTATTGAATGACTTCTTGATTGATAATTTGTTTTTAAAGTTGACAGTAAAGCTTTTTAGTAGAAAATGGGTTTAATAGAGCCATAAAAATAATTTTTGAGTATGATTAGGTCAAGTCTTCATTATTCATTAACGTTAAAGTAAATGTAAAATATATTTCATGTTTTAAAAAAAATGAGTCTGAACCCATTCTATATGAAAATCGAACATTCCTGGAAAAAAAATGACGTTTCAACAAACTCGTTTATTTAAACCAAGCTAACACAAAACAAGACAAGCAGGCTTCGTAGCGTAGTGGTTAACGCTTTCAGTCTTACGCCTAACCGTGACCTTTAGAGAGAGAGGTCGAATCATGCGTGATTTTTTTTAACTACCTTAAAAAACATTAGTGAAAAATAAATTATTCAACAAAATGTAGGAAGCAAATGTGTAAAAGATTATATTGACAATATAATTTTTGAAAAATATAACTTTTCAAGAACTTTAGAATTGAAAAATAATCTTCTCTCAGAGCGGGGGATTGTCCACGCCTTGCACGCCCTCACTCTTTACGTAATTCATGTATACGGGCAAAAATATCTTCCTTAGAATAGCAATATTATTTATATGAAGCAACCCCATACAGTGTTTGTTTAAGTTTAATGAAGTCATGGTACTTTTGAACTAGAGTGAGTCATAAATTCGCGTCAGCACATTCAAAATGTTCAAACATATGAAAAATTTCAGGTCAGGGTTACTCATGTTCGCACTTTTGTCAATACGTATGGTAGATGGAATGTTGTAATCGTTAAAATGACAATGTCCTACAGACCTGTTTGAAGGATAGAATGTGTTCTGTGTACAGTACTGACAGGTAGCAAAGCAAAAAGTAAAACAGAAAGTATGAGCGAAAACTAACTCATTTGTATTTAATTTTAACAATCCATAGAGTTCTGAATGACAACAGTGTATGTAAGTTTGAAGCGAGTAGAAAAATTTAGAAAAAGTGTTGAATTCCACAATCAAAAAAAAAAGTTTGTATGATTAATTTTACTGTTACTTTCAATGCAACTTCATTTATGTTCTCCAAAATTGTTTCGGAGCGACTCTGCAATTTTCTTTTACAGTGCGGGTATATGGGAGGCATTCTAGATAACTATGGTCAAGGCCTGTTCTTAGATAGAGTTAAATTATTCTAACTATACCTAAGGGCCCTTATTTGAACATAATGTTCTCAAGATTTTTCAAGCTTTCTATGAAAATCGTCTTGCTATGTATTTTTAAATAAATAACATAGTCTGCTGATTATAAGTCTATAAATATTTGGATTCAAATTTGAAGCTTTGTTGTAATTTTGAAATAATCTAAATCATTTTCAATTAAAACAAAGATTCCGGCATTTATTTCACATGAATTGCCGACATGTAGAAAATAAAAAATCCATAGTATTTATGGTATGATTTCAAAAAAAATATGTTATCAACATGTACCTTGAATTTATTATTAAAGAAAACGTTAGCAAATCGCGTACTCTTTCAGGAAGGTAACAAGCTCAATTTTTCATGCAAATGAATGAAAAAGGAAAAAAATCTCTTCTCAGAATGCCAACCAGGTTATTATGGTAGGGACTGTAAACATGAATGCAGTATTAACTGTGGAGTTACCAGACGATGTGACAGGTTTATTGGGGAGTGTGAGGGAGGCTGTCAGCCGGGATGGAAGGGAGAACAATGTGATACTCGTATGTATCCATTTGATGAATACGACATTTACTGGAGTTGAGATGATAACTTTTTGATTACTTTATTGAAAATTATATTAGATTATATTATTATTATTATATATTAAATTATATCACATTTATTAAAGTAAAAGGATTTTCTCATTCTAAAACAGTACAAGCTTGTAATATATCACATGCAAGGAATACAAGGGAAGATATTCTTATTATATACAATAATTATGAAAACAATCAAAATAAGAGTGTTCGGTGTGCATGTGCTTATTTGCCAAATGTGTAAATTATCTGTAAACTGTCTTTAGAACCACTCAGCAAATTTCAGCTAAATTTGACACAAAAGATCCTTATGTAAAGGGGATTTAAAGATTCAAATCAAGGAGAGAAATTAAGAAATGTGGAAATTTTGGTGGAATCATTTTAAACAAGAGGCCCAAGGGCCTTAACGGTCACCTGAGTATAACACTGTAAAGGGTCCATAGAAGTATAAAACAAAATTAACTAATAGGTGAAGCAATGTTGCCAAAGGAATTTCAAAAATCTGGTACAAATACCCTTGCTTATTATAACGTGTTAGACCCGAGTGATCTCCTTAGGATCATACTTGGTTTTCCCAAGTCTTACAGGGATGATAATGAATGCAAAATATACAATACAATGAACTCTTGCCTATTGTGTAACTTATTCAATATATACAGATATGTTTTTGTCACTTGCCTAGTGATACAATTCAGTACACACAGACTTGGATATACAACATAGCTATTTGCCACTTGTCACAAATCACAATAAGTCACCCTGACTCTCTGTGATTTTTTATTCACTTTGATAATGTGTAAAACAATTTTGTCCAGTCTCTTGTCATCCATGACTCTACCAGTGATAATAACTCATCTACTGTCAAACAGAACACCACAGTGTAAACATACTATTCACAATTACAACTTTTGCTAAATATATAAATAATCTTTTTTTTTTTATTAAATATATATTCATTTGTATAATATTATATAATATACACAGACAGTTCCAAGATACTATGACAATACACTTAATCAACTGATAAATAATATCAATCTAAAATGATGCGTTAATTAACATTGTTTAGTACACAGGGCGTATTACTCTTCCATCACACCAATTCAACTGTTTATACTACTATATTCAATAAGGAATAAATTATTAATAATGACACCAACATCTGTATAAACCATATATAAATAATCTTTATGTCAATCTTTTATATTGCTTTCCAGGCAAGAATCTGACTTTGAGAATGCTTGGTTCATTTAATTCAAACATTCAATTTTTTGGGGTTTCTAAATATATAATATTCTTTCTTGTATTCTCATTCAATCAAATAACCTGTTAAAAAATTATATACAAGGATTTTTTGATTAACAACATATAGCAAAGGGGAGTAACTCAATTGCTTCACTTATTACAATTGTGTACCCTGTTTGCCTCCTCGATACCCAGGAGCAAAGAAAAGGCACAATTACTCATAATTTTATTCAATCAATTACATTGATATTATTGCATTTAGTTTCTTTGCTTAGTACTCAGGGGCAGAGAAATTTTCAAAGAATTAATGCATATTCACTATATAATCATTAGAGCCCCGCCCTATCGCCAGAAACCCTGACCCTGGGGCCATGGAATTCACGATTTTGGAAGAGGCACTCATCCTCATCATAACTATGTACTTAGTTCATTTGCTTAATACCCAGGAGCAGAGGAGAAGATTTCTGAAGAATTAATGCATTTTCACAATATAACGCTCTAACACCAGAACCCCTGACCCAGGGGCCATGAAATTCACAATTTTGGAAGAAGCGCTCTTTCTCATCATAACTATGTACTTAGTTCATTTCCAAAATACCCAGGAGCAGAGGAGAAGATTTTCAAAAAATTAATGCATTTTCACTATATAATCATTATAGCCCCGCCATATCACAGAAACCCTGACCCCGGGGCCATGAAATTCACAATTTTGGAAGAGGCACTCTCCTTCATCATAATTATGTACTTAGTTTATTTGTTTGATACCCAGGAGCAGAGGAGAAGATTTTCAAAGAATTAATGCATTTTCACTATAGAATCATTAGAGCCCCGCCTTAACACCAGAACCCCTGACCTAGGGGCCATGAAATTCACAATTTTAAAAGAGGCACTCTTCCTCATCATAACCTCTCAGGCCCCAGTGGGGCATAGACCATGAAATTCACAAATTTTGTTTCCCTTCACCCATAGATACCATGTGCTGAAATTGGTTCAGCGGTGTCAAAGAAGCTGAAAATAATCAAATGTTAACAAACGACGAACGACTGACGACGACGGAAGAAAACGGATAGCAATAGGTCAGCTAGGAGATCCTATTCAGATATGGGATAAAGTAGGAAAATATGATGTCTTCAATATCCAAACAGGTTTAGTTGGTGAAGATTTATATTGTTCTTTTTTCTTTCAAATAGTGTTCCCGTGTATGTTTCGGTAGCAATTTTTTACATGGAAAAGGTGAAAAAAAAACTTTCTTTCCATAACAGCAGATCTACATCTATAAACATCATTAGTGAATTATTCAATCAAAACTTGATTTCAACGATATAGAAGAAATTAATTCTAATAAGTGCTTAAAAACACGAAGTGTGCAAATCGTTTTTGTCAGTCTCCGGCCTTAGTCTTGATTAAAATTTACTGAAAATATGGCATCGAATCCAATGTTAAAAAGTAAAACAAGACAATTAATTGCTGGATAAATATAAAGAAAGTTTTGTCGTGTATGAGCATGAAATAATAATACAGCAATAACACTAAGTTTTGAATATATTTATATAGAAAAACTATTAGTAAGTTGTTCAAATAAATTTATTATGCCCCCCTTCAAAGAAGGGAGGGCATATTGCTTTGCTGCTGTCGGTCTGTCGGTCCACCCACTGTTTCCGTTCATTTTCTTAAGACGCAGAAGTTGCACATACTGAAATGAAATTTGGTATACAGATGTATCATAAGAATATCTAGGTCAAGTTCTGCTTTGGGTATGATCGAGCAAATATTGGACAGTTATGTTCTTTGGACTTAAAAAAAAAATCCAATAATTGCAGTTTCCGTCCATTTTCTTCACAGAGGTTTCATATACTGAAATGAAATCTAGTATACAGATTTATCATAAGAATATCTAGGCCAGGTTTTGTTTTGGGTACGATCGAGTAATTTTTGACAGTTATGCCCCTTGGACTTAGAAAAATTATTCGAATTATTTGGGGGGGGGGGGGGAGGGGGATAAGTGTTTCACAGAAATCTTCTTGTTATATAAAACGAGCAACGAACCAAAAGTACAAAATATTTAAAGCAATAAACACGTACATGTAAAGAGAAAATGTCAATTAATAAGTAACAAGAGACCCAAGGGCCTTAACGGTCACCTGAGTACAATTTAGAGGATCGATAAACTTATAAATGAAGCTTTATTGCCCAAAAGCAAGAAAAATAGTATGATAAGCATCAACAAAATAATTGGAATAGAATCTATCTTTCCCCCACTTATCACTATTACCATGCAGATTATTAACAAAATGTCTATTTTTAACCCCATATTACTACTTCTCACACTTATCTCTCTTGGCCTCTGAAGAACATTAAAAACGATAAGCTATTTTGCCTCACTTTTATTCATTTATTATTTCCAAGTCTACCTGATCATTAAAATTATGAAAGTACTTTTTGTATTATACAATGTATATTCTTGAATAATTCTCTTATTCTATTAACCTTTCAAATACATTATTTACAGTGATTAATTATCAAAGGTGAATGGCAAAGGGGTATAACTTTGCTCAGCAGAATACAAGTTCATAAAACCCCTAGCCAGGACCAGAACATTTTACTAAATAATCCAGGTGTTCAAAATTCTGGTAAAAATACCCATCCATATTAAAACTTTTACTCTGTTTGCCTCGAATATGCCCAGAAGCATAGAAGATTTTCAAAGAAATGCATTTTCACTGTATTATTAAATAACCCCTCTCCCCCTTACACCAGAACATCTTATCCAGGGGCCAAGAACTCACAATTCTGGAAGAAGCACCTTGCTCATCATAACTTTACACTTGTTTCTTTGCTTTATTACCAGTAGTAAAAAAAAAAAAAAGAAATTATGCATTTTCACTATATAATCAATAGAACCCCTGAACCCGGCGCCATGAATTTCACAGTTTTGGAAGAGGCATTCTTCCTTATCATAACCATGCACTTCCTTTGTTTGAATAATACCCAGAAGCAGAGAAGAAGATTTTGAAAGAATTTATGCATTTTCTCTATCTAATCAATAGAGCCCCGCCCTAACACCAGAACCCTTCATCCAGGGGCCACGAAATTCACAATTTCTGAGGAGGCAGCCATGCTCATCATAACTATGTACTTAGTTTATCTAATATCCGGGAGAGAGAAGATTTGCAAAGAAATAATGCATTTTCACTATATATATCAATTGAGCCCCCCCCCCCCCCCCGATACACCCCTGACATAGGGGCCATGAAATTCACAATTTCGGAAAGGCAACCATGTGCACCATAACTATGCACTAAATATTAGTTTATTTAATGCCAAGGAGCAGAAAAGAAGATTTTCATAGAATTAATGCAATTTTACTATATAATCAGTAGAGCCCCGCCCTAACACCTGAACCCCTGACCCAGGGGCCATTAAATTCATAATTTCTGAAAAGGCAGTCATGCTCATCCTATCTATGTTCTTAGTTTTTTTTAATATGCAGGAGCAGAGAAAAAGATTTTCAAAAAATTAATGCATTTTCAATATATAATCAATAGAGCCCCGTCCTAACACCAGAACCCCTGGCCCTAAGGCCATGAAATTCATAATTTTGGAAGAGGCACTCTTGCTTATCATAACTATGTACTTAGTTACTTTATTTAATACCCAGCAGAGGAGAAGATTTTCAAAGAATTAATGCATTTTCACTACATAATCATTATAGCCCCGCCCTATCACAGAAACCCTGACTCTGGGGCAATGAAATTCACAA